AATCTGACTGATTTAAGACAAAGGTTAGTGTTTATGTAACAATAATGGGAAAATCCAAAAAATCAACCAAGATTTTTCTCTGAAGAAGTATCTTATTTTTTATGTCTAAATGAGTTTCAGTGACAATCCAAACATTCACAGTAAATCATTACTAAATTGCGTAATTGCTAAATGAAGTAAGACACTCGTGTTTTTTTGTGATCAGACAAAACAATGTATTATCGTCTCATGCACACTAGCGCCCCCTTCCGAAATTCAGCAGGATTACTGTGATCAGCATGTGTCACACACAAATAACATATTAGCAGTGATAGTAGTGCTTGTAAGAGTGGAGATGAAGGGTGTTCCTTCTGCAGGCTACTAATCTCAGCCTCTTCTGCCAGTAATAAGCATACGGTCAATAACCATCAAATATACATGACTATTGAAAGCCTTGCGCTTTAAAACCCTCCTTTTTAATGATGAGAAACACAAAGCCAGCCCCAGCGGGCACGGACGGCAAAGCAGGGCACACTTGGTTGGACTGTGTATTTATGGAGGCAGGAAGGAAATGACAAAACACAATTGCTGGGTTAAAAGTTTTTAACCAAGAAATGCAGGCACTGATGTCATCGTTAAAATATGAGCAGTATTCTGAGCAGAAGGTCACCTGACTGATTTGCTGCCCAAGTTTGGTGCCATGTCCATTTACTCCCAAGATTCAGTGTCTCCTGAAATGCTCCATCTGATCCCATAAGACAGTGTCCCGAGATTAGAAATCTGGTGCTGTTCTTTTGACATGGGGCTCAGAGGGAAATTTTTAACCTTATTTTGAGGTGGTTTAAAGCGAGGCTATTCAAATCACGGTCCTCAAGGTCCGAGCACTGCTGATTTCCCAGCCTTCCTTTACCTGTGAGCCAAGTATGAAGCCTCTGTGGCCAATCAGTTATTAAACTAACTACTTGGGAGAACTGAAAACAAGGCCTGGATTTGGAATCAGATTTGAAGAGCCCTGGTTTAAAGACTTGTTGGAAACATTGTGGTCAGTGGCCTGCCCCGCAAATCTTGCTCTCACCTCCCATCTAGTGGCTCCACGACATGATGTGGGGTCACTGACACACAACTACCCCACTATTACACTCGCAGAGCCAAATGTCAGCAAGCTAACAAGGTACTGGTCCACACAGTTGCCCTTTGGACCAATCAGGAATGAGCTGGGGCACAATTACTTGTAAACTCACCCTATCAAACCTCTTACACAGATATGTTTAAAAGGTGTAGTTCACACACAGCTGTGATTGTACATTTTTCACACTTGACTGGCCATTAACACTCAGTGTCTGTGTGTTTAAATCTATCTGAGAGAATAAAGTATGACATTCTTCAGATGAAAGACCGGCACAGGAGACAGGAAATTGCAGGCTGGTGGGGGGTTAATCTAATACAATATGAGGCGGGGCCCCTTTAAAACCACCTTTAAGAAAACACTGTGAAACCACAATACATATTTCACTCAGAGAGATCACTTCCTTCTGGTCTTATCTCTCCGCTGACACTCCTCTCTTCACCAAGGCCACCCCCACCCTGCCCCAGTTCAAAAACATTTTACCAAACATCTGTTCTATTAACCATCTACTTGTAAAACTTTAATTAAAATGCATATGACATAAAAATAACCAAGGTCACCAGAACAGCAATTTTGTGTCCAACAGTGTGGGATTTAAATTTGTTTGCATTACACAGCCGTGTATCCACTGGTCCTAGAACGGTCCTGACCACCTGGAATCACAGGTACAGGAAGAGGAAGCTCTTTTTTTCATTAACAGGGAATTTCCTGCAGAAATAAAACTGCCTTCCTGTACACCCAGCCTCCTAGCCTTGGATTAAACGGCCGGAAACCCTCTGAGTCGCTCTGTGTAAACGAGAGCAGAAGACAAAGGTATTTCCCATAGACCTCAAAGGCTGTACAGGGAAAGATCTTCTTGCCTCCCCTCCCTTTAACCCTCTTCCAAAATCTCCAGCTTTAATGAATAGTTTGCACTAAGACCTTCTTCATTAGCATCCAGCAGGGTATCATGACAGAAAGGGGGGTTAAAACGTGGCCGGTTCTCATGTGTGCTTCCAAACAGTTCAAAGGTGATGGAACAACAGTGGTAGATACATTGTGTCCCTTCTCGCTAGTTCAGCCAAACAGAGAAGGTACAGCTAGTCTGTCTTAGTAGTTCTCTGCTGAAGGTTGTCAGTCGAGCACCGGTTTGTCCTCTGTCTGGTAGGATTGACATTTTGACCCCCTTGTGGTTCAAAGCCAAGGTACAGGCTGAGGACGAGCTGTGGATTTGCGTGCCAGTGCTTTTCAGATTAATGTCTCCATCATGTTGTGCGTCATAATACTGACTTCCAAAGCTCGCGCCGAACAGGAAGCTAGGGGCCAAGGTGACAGTCCGGCTCACATTGTCCTGCATAACAATGCAGCATCAGCCTGGGTGCCTGCTGCAGAAACAACATCCTGTTATATGTGAACGTGGCATGGAGATGGAATGAAAAAAATCCTATAGTGGGGGACGTTAGTGGTGGGGTTATGTCATTTTTTCACAGACACCAGTTTCTGTTTATTTCGATTCTTTTCTCCCTCCTCCAAACAGCAGGACAGTGTTAGAGACTGGGATCAGGTACAGAAAGATGGCTGACAGAGGTGGGACTTCAGAGGGACATGGATACCCTGGCAGATTCAGGGGACCCAACTCTTCACCTTGAATAAGTAACATTATACGTGAAAATGGGTGGGGAGGTGACATTTTGTCAGGGGGTTCAGAATATATGGTACTCCCCAGACATGGGCATTTCTCATTGACTGTAAGAAGCAAAGGTTTATCTGTCGCTGGCTTATTTTAACAGGTTACCATGGAGATTTTTAACTAGTCCTAGGTTTTGTTCTTTAAAAATGACAGGTGACTGAATTGTCACAGGCGTCCCAAATATGGATAAATAAATTTCCACATAGTAAACATATGATATACAGGGTTACGATGGTCCGTGTTACGATTTTTTGACTTTACGATGGATAAATGTTTTTCAGTTTCAGTGCATTATTCAATAAATTACACAAGATATTCAATACTTTTTAATATATAAATTAGGCTTTATTTTAATTATTTTGCCCAACTGTAGGCTAATGAAAGTGTTCTAAGCATGTTTTTAGGATAGGCCGGTCTAGGCTGTGATGTTTGTTATATGTTAGTTGTACTGTATTAAAATGCATTTTCACCTTATGATAGGTTTGTCGGAACTTAACCCCATCGTAACCCGGGGAGAGTCTGTATTGCTTTTGCTGACAATCATAAATAATGTTCCCACAGTTTACACTGAATCCTAAATATATTAGCTGATATAAGTTTGTTTTCATGCAAGTATAAGCACTTTCTAAACAAATGTTAATAGATGGAGTCAGTGTTCACACGGTCCGGTAAAGGATTTCAGTGAGCTGTGATCCAACATGTTTCTTATGTCTTCAGAAATCTGAAGACCTTGAGGCAGAATTCTTCATCTGGTCCTAATATTTATGTCGTATGAAATAAATTTTAACCACATCATGCGATGGACTTATATCCTATGCCTGTCTCACTCTCTACTTCTGAATCATTACATTCCTAACCAGATGAGCAGTCATTGGAGATGAATAGCTTCTAGAATGTTGTTAAACACCACAGAATTGTCTCGATTTTATTTTTTATGGCACGCATCCAAACCAACTTAGTCATTCGGACATTTGTCTGTCAAAAACAGGCGAAGGAGACCACTTGAAGTCCCTACTACATTTGTCACACACAAAATCCACTGAGACAGGATGCAGTTGCGGAAATCACACTACTGAAGGTAGAAATTCCACAGGACAATCCGAAGTCAAACATGGTACAAACAAGCTCATATGGGCAATGCAGATAAACAGGAGTCAATAGCCATGAGGCACAGCTCAGAAACCCTGCTAAATGCGTGACAGACTTTTAAATGACCAGAGTCTTCATGCACATTCTCAACTAGAAACTGGAGGGAAAATGAAAAATGAAATTGGGCGGAGCCAGTAGTGAGTGGGCTGGTAAAGTCAAACAACACCAAACCAGAGCCTTTGGGGGTGGGGGGGTGAATGAGCGCATGACGCTACATAAGCATCGAACCTTCAAAATATTATTGAAGAAATACAGGAGAATATGTTCTGTTCTCGTCCCCAGATATATAGCCAGGCTATGTTTTCCACCTGGTGCCTGATCAAATCCAGTCCTTCTGTGATGAATGTAAGGCCCAGCACAGTTTTTCTTGTGCGTAGTTCCTGGTCTCCTGGAGGGACCTATACTGTCTCCTAAGAGAGCTCTCAAAATAACCCACGAAGCACATCCACAGCCGGAGTGGCTCATGCAGCCCTGTCAGCACTCTCATCTCAGGCTTATATCCGCTGGCCTGCTGGCTGTGACCTGCTTCACCATTCACGGTTCACCATTTTGAGGATGCCACTACGTACAGCTCCTTAGCAGGGAGGTGGGAGTGAGCCGCCACACGTCACACAGGTGGAGGTAGGTGTGGAAAAACGCTTAGTTCATCCTCCCTGACAACCAGGTTACCACTGGTCCGTGTCCAGGGATTTCAGCTCCAAACAAACCCCCCCTCCCCCGACCCCCCCGCTGCTTCATCATTGCTCTTTGCAGTCTGGGGTGTTCGGTCTGATTCTGGTATTTGGGTATGTCAGCAGTCCTATGAGCGATATCTCCTTAATGTTCTCGTTTGAAACTCCTTATCTGCTTCTGTACGAAACGTGTGCTCATTACATCATTTCCTGTTGCGGGAACTGACAAGTCAAGGTTTCAGCACATCATTGACTTTGAGTTGTGAATGTTCCTGCATCCCAGAGAACAGCTGTGATGCAGGAATAGCTGGGTCCTTCATTCGGCACGCGACCCCTGGGTCTGGGGGGGGGGGGGGGTGCAAGATAGTGAAGGTGGAAAGAGCCAGAATGGAAGACCCCCAGCACAGCTCGGGTCCAGCCAAGGAGACTTTGAAAGTGCCCGAATCTTCAGAAGACAACGACTCGGGGAGTGTGCACTCTGACAACTCAGTCGTCTCCATGTTTGGGCTCCAGAGGAGAGGAGCAGACCATGCCATGACGTTGTACCAAGCCTGTGCCAGGAATGAAGCCCTAGTTGTCCGTGAGATCCTACGGAGGGGCACCACACGTCAGGAGGTGATGGAGGTGGACATCAATCGCTGGGTAGGTGACCTTCTTGCTCTCCATCTCCTCAACTCAGTCTTCGGTCATGATTTTATAAATTGAGTTTCTGCTTATGAGAAACATTGATGCTAATGCTCACAGCACTGGATGCACAACTGGGACACAGACACGGACCTCAAAGCTGACGCTGGTTCCTCTGTGTCGCCCCTGCCTCTGACCTCAGAACGGCTTGATGGTTGCTGCCTATAAAGGCTTCCTGGAGGTTGTCTTTGCCCTACACAGCTGCCCTTATCTGGACATCAACCACCAGGACAAGGAGGGAAACACAGCACTCATGATCGCTGCTCAAGCAGGTCAGTGCGAAATGCAGCGTCTGCTTTTCCCGTTAACACCCTGCTTAACCTGCTTCGGGCCCATTCAAACTTAAAGGTGCTCTTATTAATCATTATTATACTGATAACAAGTGAGCTGTCAACATAGCGATGTACAGTGCATATCCATATCTCACAAAGCAGGGGGCATGGAGCCTCAGTCGGGAGATACAGGCACACCCTATACATTATACTCATCAGTCTGACTCTTTTATCCAGAGTAATCACAGTATAGAGGAGGGTTACAATTTATATGCATGAACCCATTATCTTTGTGTCACTAGCACAATGCTCTACTTGTTGAGCTACAGCAGTTGTCTATGAGGGATGTAATGGATAATGTAGAGTGTATACAGTAATGGATAATGTAGAGTGTATACAGTAATGGATGTAATGATAATGTAGAGCGTATACAGTAATGGATTTAATGGATAATGTAGAGTGTATACAGTAATGGATGTAATGA